AAAGCAAGTGGATCGTGAAAATTAGAACAGTTTCTTTTTATCATTCCAAATATTGCTAAGGCTTTCTTTTTTTATCGCTGCTACGTGGGCGTTAAATAACAGTTTGGAATCAAATAAGATTCCTAAATCTTTAATTAATGAGGAACGTTGTAGGTTAATGTCACTTAAACTATAATTAAAATGAAGGGGATTGTGTTTTTTTGGAGTAAGTAACAATTTGTCATTTATCTATAATGTGTGTTTGTGGGGGCGCCTCACTTGCGCCTCCTCCGGCGCCTCACTTATCAAAATTATTAGCGCCTCCCTTATCATAATAAAAATTCAATTTGATAACAAATAATAGCGCCTCACTTATAATCTCCTCCGGCGCCTCACTTATCAAAATTATTAGCGTCTCCCTTATCAAAATAAAAATTCAATTTGATAACAAATAATAGCGCCTCACTTATAATCTCCTCCGGCGCCTCACTTTTCAAAATTATTAGCGCCACCCTTATCACGTTATTACCGCCACACTTTAAAAACGTTTCATTAATAAATGATCGCAATAAATTTATATGCGTTCTGAAATAATATTATCTCCCTCCATTAATAGTTGTTATATATACGTTATTATTTTGATATAAAAACTATAGTTTCTTTTAATAAAATTCAGTCATTTTTGATTTGTAATCGATGAAGTTTGTAAAATAACGTAATCAACGTGAGGATAATTTAAAGACTATCATCCACAGATAAAAGTAAGTTTTTTAATAATTCATATTAAAACACAAGATTTATTATTTTACAATGATATGTGTATTTTAAATTTTAGATGAGTATGATAAATAAAGATTGGTTGAATGGTATGAAAAATAAACGTAGAATGTGTGTGTCTGATCTTAAAATAGGAGTAGAATACAAGGTTCTGGGACTGTACGTGATAAAATCAAAATACTCGAATGAGACTCCAGTGGCTGAAGTAAAACTTGATAATGAACCGTCATTTCAAGTTTATTTACCCGCAAGATTTACATTCACTCGTGAAGATTTAAACAAAGGAATCGATGAAAATCTCAAACTTGTATGCAACGGAAGAAAAGATCACACCTCTAGTTACGATATAATGTTCTTATAACTAATTATTTTTTTATAGAAATATGTGTTAAAATAAATATTGTATTTTTTAAAAAAATGAAATAATTATATGTACAATTAAATGATTAATAGATTACTCTCGTTTAATTTAAAAAAACGCGTGTTTTATTTACTGGAAAAAATCCTGATCATGCTGTGAATAAATTACGTGAG